GATCAATCCCTCTGGGCTCCTTTGATCGGCTTCATCACCTAGTGGGGGTGGGGGGTCATGGTTTGGTCCTGCCTTCGCTATTGTGGTTGATATGGGGGTAAGGACGGACTTGGGGAATCTGGAGATTCCCTATGACGTTTTCCCTGGAGGGCCTAACGCGGGGGTTGTGGCCATGACCTGGTTAGGGGCTCTGGTGGCTCTTAAATGGTGTTTTCCTTATGGCTCCGTACAGCGGAGATGGGGGAGGGTCTGTGCTGGCGGACGTTGGTTACTGGCCTGGTAGCCTGGCTGCCCCTGGGAGGGTCCGGGACAGGCGCGGAGGCTTGGGAGTCTGGGGGTGCTCCGCCGTTGTTGTGTCGCCGGGGAGGTGCTGACCGTCGGATTGGGGTCTGTGATGCGTGGCCTCCCTGCTACTGCAGATAAGGAGGTGGTCTGCTTTCCTTCACCACAGAGAGAAGGGTTACATCTCCTGGGTCTGGGTACCCCCATCCCCAGAGGGGCAAACCGTACCCGGACCTGGGATATAGAGTATGTTTGGGGAGTGTGAATGTGTGTACAGTGTCTATTTGTGTCTGTCTCCACGTCGGGTGAGTGTCGAGTATTTGTTTGTGTATATAGGGGTGGGAATGCACGTTTGTGTCTGCCTCTGGCCCTGAGGCCCGGTCCTCTCTGGTACAGCTGGCTGCCGGCAGAGCCCGCGGGCACATCACTACAATCCCCTCTGGCCTCTGCTCTGTGGCTGCTGGGTGACCTCTCGTTTGGGACTCTCCTCAGCTCTTCCCAGGAGGGTGGCACGGTTGCCCCCCTGGTGGTCCTCCTTGGGTCCTCGTATTCTGGGGCCTCTGGATGTCTGGGGCCTGGATCTCCTCCATACATGCTTCATGGCCTGGGGGACGGGGCTATGGCTCCCCAGCAGATCGCTACATGGTGAAACCTTTTGAATACAAGCGTGCTGATCCACACAGGTGTGCACACAGGTGTACACACGGGTGTTCACAGACACAAACTACACCTTTCTTGGCTGCTGCCTCAAAGCACATTGTGCGCTGTCAATCTTGCGTGCTGCACAATAACATGTAATATTTAGTATCTACTGTTATCTACTGTTAGCTAGTTTATTGTGATGGCTTTGTATTTATTATGTTGCTCTTTTTGTTTGTTTTCTCTTCTTTCTTATCTCCATACAGGTGATCCAGGTGTTTTGCTTGTTTTTCTTTTTTTTTTCTTCCCCACTTTCTCACCATCTCTTCTCCCCTCTTTTTTTCTTTCTCTCCCTCTCTTTCTTTCATTCTTTCTCCCTGTCCTATCCCCCAGTCATGTCTGTCCCGTCTGTAACAACCGAAAATAAAATAAAATAAATACATAATTATAATAAAGGTCAATCAAATGGACCAATATGGCAAGGCCATGATGATCCAATTGGTAAATCCGCTTGGCATCTTTCTTGGCCTTCAGGCAACAATTCTGATGGCTAAAGATACAAACGGGACAGGCAAAAAAACAAAAAAACAAAACTATACTTACAGGACAGCCAGAACACAAGAATCCGCTTATAGTATAAGTTGATGCACAGAATGAGAGGTCTCATCTTCATCACACGGCAAGAAAAACGAAATGTTTCATGTATTATATGATGGTGAAAACAGAGTGTAAATTTAGTTTTAATATGATTTGTTTTACCATTTATGCTTAATCTTAAGACAATATCAGAAGCAGTTTAATGACATTGACAACTGCTGCTTTTTGCTACTCGGGATCACAGAAATGACACCAGTTTGGGCTGAAAGCAAAGTTGTGGGAAAGCGGACAATTTGAGAGTTCCTGAGAGAGGCTTTGGATAATAACAAACTTGTGTATTCAAGACATGTCTAGCACAGTCCCTTCGGTACTTGGACCTTGTCAGACATTTTAATAGACTAAACACACACGAAAAACAAAAGCACACATCCACACATGACCTCTGACCTAGTAG